GGCGCCTATGGACTCGACCCCCAGGAGCCTGGCTGGAGGGCAGACAGTAGGTGCCTATAGACTCGACCCCCAGGAGCCTGGCTGGAGGGCAGACAAGCGCCTATGGACTCGACCCCCAGCTGCTCCACCCTCCTTTTTATCTTGATACTGACTTGCAGGCTGAGGTTCCTTTCAGGATAGACCCTGCATCTTGAGTGGAGGGAGTAGGGGTGTGAACAGGGAGAGCCCGGGACCAGGGCGGGACCTGTAGATGGGAGAGGAGGTCCCCGCACAGGTGGTAGACCAAAGCTGGCTTCTCCGTCTCCACGGCCTGTGTGGCCGGGGGTATGGCTCAGAGGGAAGGACAGTAAGGGAATGGAATGGAAGGACCAGGTCTTGAGGGGTCTGCCTCTGAGACAGAAGGGACAGGAGGCGGGAGTGGCCGGCCTCCTCGGAGTGCCTGAATTTCTCCTGTGTCTCCCAGAAGGCGTGGTGAAGGCCTCCAGGGATCAGCTGGTGAACTGCACTTGTGAGAACCCACACTGCAAGAAGCCGACCTGCCAGGGGGCATGGTGCACCGTGGTGCTGGTTCGAGAACAGGGCGGGCACCCCCAGGTCCATCGGGGCTGCGGGAACATGAACCCGGAACTCTGCCTGGGACGCCCCACGGAGTTCGTCAACCACCACTGCTGTTACCGGTCCTTCTGCAACCACAACGTGTCCCTGGTGCTGGAGGGTATGTCCAGGGGCCCTGCCGCTCTCCCCCATCGCCTCAGACGCTGCCCTCTCTGCCCCGCTTTCTTCTCACGCCCTGGCCCATACAGAGAGGGTGTGGGGAGGCAAGATGCTGGGATCTAACACCTGTCAGAGTGGTCTGGCTCAGGGTCAGGAGAGATGGCCTGGTGGAGCTGGGGCTCAACATCCCCCTCCCACAGCCACCCAAACTCCTTCTGAAGAGCCAGATGTAAATCCCCCGCTGCTTCCGATCTTGGGTTCCGTGCTGGCCTTGCTGGTCCTGGTGGCCTTGGGTGCTCTGGGCTTGTGGCGTGTCCGAAGAAGGCAGGAGAAGCAGCGGGGTCTGCACAGCGACCTGGGCGAGTCCAGCCTCATCCTGAAGGCATCCGAGCAGGGAGACAGCATGCTGGGGGTATGGACCGCCTGGGACCCAGGGTGGAGGGTGGGTATGTCCACAGGAGCAGCTATCTCAGGGGGCCACCCAAAGACGGCAGTGAGAACCTAGCCGTGGTGTAACCGTGGGACGGCGGTGGAGAAAGGGGCTGTGGCTGATGAGGGCCGCCACTCAGTGACCATGTGGTATCCCTAGGACTTGCTGGACAGCGACTGCACCACGGGCAGTGGCTCGGGACTCCCCTTCCTGGTGCAGAGGACGGTGGCCCGGCAGGTCGCGCTGGTGGAGTGCGTGGGTGAGCAGTGAGCCAGCCGGGGACGGGGACCAAAGACTGGAGAGGTCGGGGAGCACTTGCTCTCCAGGATCACAAGTGGGTCTAGCCTGGGGTCAGAACAAGGGATTCCGCTGGGCAGGGAGTGGGTCTAGCCTGGGGTCAGAACAAGGGATTCTGCTGGACAGGGAGTAGGTCTAGCCTGGGCCAGAATAAGG